TAGCACAAAGTTAACAAAACAAAATACCACATAGTTAAGAAATACTAAAGCAGAAAAATAAGGATAATAGTTGTCTATGTTCATTTACATTTGAACTTCTTGAAAATGTAACAGAATATTGAAACATGCAGAAATAATCAGCTGTGAAAGTAAAGAAAACTGTGTTCAGTATTTGAACTTTTAAATTACATATCTCAGCATTCAGAACAAAGACTTCCATCTTCTTCATGACATGCCCCTTATATATTTACTGGTCGTTCTCTTTACTTTGATGCCATCACAGTATATATATATTTTGCTGCACACTTAATAAGCATGTCCCTGTAACCCCCATCCAATTATAGGTAAGTAGGGGAATTATTATTGGAAGCCAATATCAACACATCCAACTAATATAGCACATTAAAACAAGGGCCCCATGGGCTTAACAGGTCACCTGAGTTGTAATACAATTGTTATTTGTTGTTATGATATGACAAAAACAAATATCACATGTATAGCAGGGAATTTTGTCCCTCCCCAATACTGAAAAATCTCATTTCCATAAACTATAGCAAAATTTACCCCCTCCCTAGGGTAAATGGGTGACAATTGATAAAAAACTTATATATCAGATATACACCTCATACACCTTCTATAAATCAGGTATACACCTTTAATTCAACATAAAGTAAACACCTTTGGGTCACTTCCATATATCAGGTATACTCCTCCAATACATCAGGTATATACACCTCCAGATGATCAGGTATATATACCTCCCATACATCAGGAACATGTATACACCTCTGATATATCAGGTATATACCTAAACATCAGGTATACATCTCCTATATATCAGGTATTTACCTCCCATATACATCCGGTATTTACATCAGGTAAAAACCTTATACATCACCTATACCTCAGGTATACACCTCCCATACATCAGGTATACACCTCCCATACATCAGGGCATTTTAGGTCCCTATTCTCTGTAGGGAAGTTATTATTATACTTCATCTATATAAGAGTTGTCTTGTTGGTTGTTTAGATTACCTCTTACCATACAAGAAGTATGAGCTTGGGGATCTCAACAATTTCCATGCTATGACCCAGGGAGGAAGTCCTCAGGGATATGGATTGGGCTCCATAAAGGACTTGATAGCATGAGTGTTATTTTCTCTTCATGCCCAGCAACATATGAAAGGGATCTGAACTGATTTCATGTTAAGACCTGGGGAATAA